GCAGGGGCGGGGCCAGCGAGGGGGCGGGAAATGGGGCGGGGCCAGCGAGGGGGCGGGAAAAGGGGCGGGGCCAGCAAAAAGCGGGAAATAGGGCGGGGGAAATGGGCGTGGCCAATGAAAACGAGGCCGCGTTGTGGGCGTGGTTATCGGGGCGGGGGCGTGGCTTAGGGCGTGGCCGGAATTTGGGGATTTGGGAATTTTGGGGTGAAAAATGCGGGATTTGGGACAGGATTTTGCTCTTTTTTGCCGCAGGGTGAGGCAGCAGCGCCTTCTCCTCGCAGCCTTCGTCCTCCTCATCGTCAAACCCGCCCTGGGGGGGCGCCTAGCAGCGGGAAAAAGGGGAATTTTGGGGGCGAGAAAGGCGGAATTTGGGACAGGGCAACTCCCCAGGTGTGCCAGGTGTGCTCCAGGTGCCCCCCAGGTGTGCCAGAAGCCCCCCAGGTGTGCTCCAGGTGTGCCAGGTGTGCTCCAGGTGCCCCCCAGGTGTTAGAGGTGAATGCAAGAAAGCACTCAGGTGTTACAAGGAGCTCTTCAGGTGTTACAGGTGAGGCTGAGGAACCCCCCAGGTACATCCAGGTGTCCCCAAGGTGTCCCCAGGTGTCCCCAGGTGTCTCCAGGTGCTCCCCAGGTGCTCTCCAGGTGTCCCCAGGTGTCCCTGGGTGCTCTCCAGGTGTCCCCAGGTGTCCCTGGGTGCTCTCCAGGTGTCCCCAGGTGTGCCTGGGAATCCCCAGGTGCTCTCCAGGTGCTCTCCAGGTGTTCCCAGGTACCCCCAGGTGCTCCCCAGGTGCTCTCCAGGTACCCCCAGGTACACCCAGGTGCTCTCCAGGTGCCTCCAGGTACACCCAGATGCCCCCAGGTGTCCCCAGGTGCCCCCAGGTGTCCCCAGGTACACCCAGGTGCCCCCGGGTGTGTCCCCAGGCGCGCCCAGGTGCGTCAGTCGCCGCCGTTGGCGCGGATGGTGCGGCGGATCCAGGTGGTGAAGGCGCAGACGCGGCTGTACACACCTGGCTTGCCCTGCTGGCCGCACACCTGCAGCCCCCAGGAGACCACGCCCTGCAGGTAACCCCCGCACACCAGCGGGCCCCCGGAGTCACCCTGGGAGACAGGTGAGACACAGGTGAGGGACAGGGGAGACAGGTGAGACACAGGTGAGGGACAGGGGAGACAGGTGAGACACAGGTGAGGGACAGGGGAGACAGGTGAGACACAGGTGAGGGACAGGGGAGACAGGTGAGACACAGGTGAGGGACAGGGGAGACAGGTGAGACACAGGTGAGGGACAGGGGAGACAGGTGAGACACAGGTGAGGGACAGGGGAGACAGGTGAGACACAGGTGAGGGACAGGGGAGACAGGTGAGACACAGGTGAGGGACAGGGGAGACAGGTGAGACACAGGTGAGGGACAGGGGAGACAGGTGAGACACAGGTGAGGGACAGGGGAGACAGGTGAGACACAGGTGAGGGACAGGGGAGACAGGTGAGACACAGGTGAGGGACAGGGGAGACAGGTGAGACACAGGTGAGGGACAGGGGAGACAGGTGAGACACAGGTGAGGGACAGGGGAGACAGGTGAGACACAGGTGAGGGACAGGGGAGACAGGTGAGACACAGGTGAGGGACAGGGGAGACAGGTGAGACACAGGTGAGGGACAGGGGAGACAGGTGAGACACAGGTGAGGGACAGGGGAGACAGGTGAGACACAGGTGAGGGACAGGGGAGACAGGTGAGACACAGGTGAGGGACAGGGGAGACAGGTGAGACACAGGTGAGGGACAGGGGAGACAGGTGAGACACAGGTGAGGGACAGGGGAGACAGGTGAGACACAGGTGAGGGACAGGGGAGACAGGTGAGACACAGGTGAGGGACAGGGGAGACAGGTGAGACACAGGTGAGGGACAGGGGAGACAGGTGAGACACAGGTGAGGGACAGGGGAGACAGGTGAGACACAGGTGAGGGACAGGGGAGACAGGTGAGACACAGGTGAGGGACAGGGGAGACAGGTGAGACACAGGTGAGGGACAGGGGAGACAGGTGAGACACAGGTGAGGGACAGGGGAGACAGGTGAGACACAGGTGAGGGACAGGGGAGACAGGTGAGACACAGGTGAGGGACAGGGGAGACAGGTGAGACACAGGTGAGGGACAGGGGAGACAGGTGAGACACAGGTGAGGGACAGGGGAGACAGGTGAGACACAGGTGAGGGACAGGGGAGACAGGTGAGACACAGGTGAGGGACAGGGGAGACAGGTGAGACACAGGTGAGGGACAGGGGAGACAGGTGAGACACAGGTGAGGGACAGGGGAGACAGGTGAGACACAGGTGAGGGACAGGGGAGACAGGTGAGACACAGGTGAGGGACAGGGGAGACAGGTGAGACACAGGTGAGGGACAGGGGAGACAGGTGAGACACAGGTGAGGGACAGGGGAGACAGGTGAGACACAGGTGAGGGACAGGGGAGACAGGTGAGACACAGGTGAGGGACAGGGGAGACAGGTGAGACACAGGTGAGGGACAGGGGAGACAGGTGAGACACAGGTGAGGGACAGGGGAGACAGGTGAGACACAGGTGAGGGACAGGGGAGACAGGTGAGACACAGGTGAGGGACAGGGGAGACAGGTGAGACACAGGTGAGGGACAGGGGAGACAGGTGAGACACAGGTGAGGGACAGGGGAGACAGGTGAGACACAGGTGAGGGACAGGGGAGACAGGTGAGACACAGGTGAGGGACAGGGGAGACAGGTGAGACACAGGTGAGGGACAGGGGAGACAGGTGAGACACAGGTGAGGGACAGGGGAGACAGGTGAGACACAGGTGAGGGACAGGGGAGACAGGTGAGACACAGGTGAGGGACAGGGGAGACAGGTGAGACACAGGTGAGGGACAGGGGAGACAGGTGAGACACAGGTGAGGGACAGGGGAGACAGGTGAGACACAGGTGAGGGACAGGGGAGACAGGTGAGACACAGGTGAGGGACAGGGGAGACAGGTGAGACACAGGTGAGGGACAGGGGAGACAGGTGAGACACAGGTGAGGGACAGGGGAGACAGGTGAGACACAGGTGAGGGACAGGGGAGACAGGTGAGACACAGGTGAGGGACAGGTGAGTCCCCTCGGGTGTTCCCCAGGTGCTCCCCAGGTGTTCCCCACCCCCATACAGGTGAGTCCCCCCAGGTGTTCCCCAGGTGTTCCCAGGTGTTCCCCAGGTGTCCCCAGATGTTCCCAGGTGTTCCCCAGGTGTTCCCAGGTGTTCCCCAGGTGTTCCCCAGGTGTTCCCAGGTGTCCCCAGGTGTCCCCAGATGTTCCCCAGGTGTTCCCAGGTGTTCCCCAGATGTTCCCCAGGTGTCCCCAGATGTTTCCCAGATGTTCCCCAGGTGTCCCAGGTGTTCCCAGGTGTTCCCCAGGTGTCCCCAGATGTTCCCAGGTGTCCCCAGATGTTCCCCAGGTGTTCCCCACCCCCACACAGGTGAGTCCCCCCCCTCAGGTGTGCCACACCTGGCCGCACCTGGCAGGAGTCGGTGCCGTTGCCGTCGCCGCCGGCGCAGAGCATGTTGGGAGTGATGGCACCTGGGTACAGGTGAGCACAGGCGGCGTTGGACCAGGTGAACACCTCCCCGCACTGCAGCACGTCCGGGAATGCACCTGGCGCAGGTGAGACAGGTGAGAGACAGGTGAGACTGGTGAGGGACAGGTGAGACAGGTGAGACACAGGTGAGACAGGTGAGACAGGTGAGACTGGTAAGGGACAGGTGAGACAGGTGAGACACAGGTGAGACACAGGTGAGACACAGGTGACACAGGTGAGACACAGGTGAGACACAGGTGAGACACAGGTGAGACAGGTGAGGGACAGGTGAGACAGGTGATGGACAGGTGAGACAGGTGAGGGACAGGTGAGACACAGGTGAGACACAGGTGAGACACAGGTGAGACACAGGTGAGACACAGGTGAGACACAGGTGATGGACAGGTGAGACACAGGTGAGACAGGTGAGACAGGTGAGGGACAGGTGGCACAGGTGGCACCTGCCCCCTCACGTGCTCTCCATTTGTCCCTCACCTGTCCCCAGATGTATCCCCACCCCCCAGGTGTGTCCCCAGGTGTCCCCAGGTGTGTCCCCCAGGTGTGTCCTACCCCCTCAGGTGTGTCCCCAGGTGTCCCCAGCTGTCCCCAATGTCCCCAGGTGTCCCCAGGTGTCCCCAGGTGTGTCCCCAGATGTATCCCCACCCCCCAGGTGTGTCCCCAGGTGTGCCCCAGGTGTCCCCAGGTGTCCCCAGGTGTGTCCCCTCCCCCCAGGTGTCCCCAGGTGTCCCCAGGTGACCCCAGGTGTGTCCCCTCACCTCACCTGTCTCACCTTGCGGGCTGCGGGTGCTGCCCCACCCGGACACCACACACCTGTCCCCTACCTGGGGACACCTGCGGGGCAGCGCCACCGGCCGCACGCGCTCGCTCAGGTGGGCGGGGCCGCGCAGGCGCAGCAGCATGACGTCACTGTCATGGCGGCCGGGCAGGTAACGCGGGTGGACGAAGGCGCGGTCCCAGGTGAGGCATTGCTCCGCCCCCTCCCGCTCGCGCCGGTTGTGCTCCCCCAGCAACACCTGCAGGGGGCTGGACAGGTGACAACAGGTGACAACAGGTGAGAAACAGGTGTATCCCCAGGTGTGTCCCCAGGTGTATCCCCAGGTGTGTCCCAGGTGTGTCCCAGGTGTCCCCAGGTGTGTCCCCAATGTCCCCAGGTGTGCCCCAGGTGTGTCCCAGGTGTGTCCCCAATGTCCCCAGGTGTGTCCCAGGTGTGTCCCCAATGTCCCCAATGTCCCCAGGTGTGTCCATGCTCACCTGTCCGTGTGGCAGTGGGCGGCGCTCAGCACCCACCTGGCCCCCACGAGCACGCCCCCGCAGTGGATGGCGCCCCCAGGTGTGTCCCAGGTGTGTCCCCAATGTCCCCAGGTGTGTCCCAGGTGTGTCCCCAATGTCCCCAATGTCCCCAGGTGTGTCCATGCTCACCTGTCCGTGTGGCAGTGGGCGGCGCTCAGCACCCACCTGGCCCCCACGAGCACGCCCCCGCAGTGGATGGCGCCCCCTGGCTGCAGCAGCAGCGCTTGGTACGGGTGCAGCCGCCGCTCGCAGCCGGCCCCGCCCACGATGCGGTTCTGCTCCGCCCCCGCCAACGCTGCGGCCAATGGGAACGCGTTAGCACCAGTATGGACCAGTATGGACCAGTATGGACCAGTATAAACCAGTATGGACCAGTATGGACCAGTATGGACCAGTATGGACCAGTATAAACCAGTATGGACCAGTATAAACCAGTATGGACCGGTATAAACCAGTATAAACCAGTAAGGACCAGTATAAACCAGTATAAACCGGTATAAACCAGTATAAATCAGTACGGACCAGTATGGACCACTATAAACCAGTATGAACCAGTACAGACCAGTATAAACTGGTATAAACCGGTATAAACCAGTATGGACCGGTATAAGCCAGTATAAACCAGTACGGACCAGTATCCCCCAGTCCCTCCCAGTGCTCCCAGTCCCTCCCAGTGCTCCCAGTCCCTCCCAGTGCTCCCAGTCCCTCCCAGTGCTCCCAGTCCCTCCCAGTGCTCCCAGTCCCTCCCAGTGCTCCCAGTCCCTCCCAGTGCTCCCAGTCCCTCCCAGTGCTCCCAGTCCCTCCCAGTGCTCCCAGTCCCTCCCAGTGCTCCCAGTCCCTCCCAGTGCTCCCAGTCCCTCCCAGTGCTCCCAGTCCCTCCCAGTGCTCCCAGTCCCTCCCAGACCAGTATAAACCAGTACAGACCAGTATGGGCCAGTATGGACTGGTATAAACCAGTACGGACCAGCAGGGACCAGTTTGGACTGGGGACCTCCCAGTCCCTCCCAGTACGGACCAGTATCCCCCAGTCCCTCCCAGTGCTCCCAGTTCCTCCCAGTTGACCCCAGTTCCTCCCAGTTTCTCCCAGTCCCTCCCAGTACAAACCAGTTCCACCCCATCGATTGCCACCCACTCACCCCAGTTCATCCCAGTTCCTCCCAGTTCATCCCAGTTCCTCCCAGTTCATCCCAGTTCCTCCCAGTTCATCCCAGTTCCTCCCAGTTCATCCCAGTTCCTCCCAGTTCATCCCAGTCCCTCCCAGTTCCTCCCAGTTCCTCCCAGTTCATCCCAGTCCCTCCCAGTTCCTCCCAGTTCCTCCCAGTCCCTCCCAGTTCCATCCCAGTCCCTCCCAGTTCCTCCCAGTTCCTCCCAGTCCCTCCCAGTCCATCCCAGTCCATCCCAGTCCATTCCAGTCCCTCCCAGTTCCTCCCAGTCCATCCCAGTCCCTCCCAGTCCCTCCCAGTTCATCCCAGTTCATCCCAGTCCCTCCCAGTCCATCCCAGTCCCTCCCAGTCCCTCCCAGTGTCCCCAGTTCACCTCTGCCTCCAGCCCAGTACGGCCCAGTCTCCTCCCAGTTCAAACCAGTGCTCCCAGTTCATCCCAGTCCATCCCAGTTCCCTCCCAGTTCATCCCAGTCCCTCCCAGCCCTTCCCAGTTCCCCTCAATCCCCCCTTAACCCCTTCCCAGCACCCTCCAGTCCAAACCAGTACAAACCAGTACAAACCAGTGGCCAGCAGCAGCCCCCCAGTGCCCCCCGGTCCAAACCAGTACAAACCAGTACAAACCAGTGCCCCCCCAATGCCCCCCCAGTATAAACCAGTATAA